CATGTGAATTAAACAGACATTTCAGTTAAAGTTTTTATTTTTTTAATAAAATATAATTTAAGCACTTTTTAAAACTGAATTAGAGCTCTTTTATATATTTTGATAATGGAATATTACATACACAGGCACATATAAATATACAGACATATAAACAGAAGTAGAACTTATAGATTTATAATTTTTTTTTTGAGATAGGTTCTCCCTGTGTTACCTACGCTGGAGTGCAGTCGTGCCATCACAACTCACTGCAGCCTCAACCTCCAGGGCTCAATCAATCCTTCCACCTGACTGAGTAGCTGGGACTACAGGCATATGACACCAGGCCTGGCTAATTTATGTATTTTTTGTAGATAAGGGGTTTCACCATGTTGCCCATGCTGGTCTTGAATTCCTGGGCTCACGTGGTTTTCCCAACTTGGCCTCCCAAAGTGTTGGAATAACAGGCGTGAGCCACTACCCCAGACCAGACTTTTTTTTTTTTTTTTTTTGAGATGAAGTCTTTCTCTGTCACCCAGGCTGGAGTGCAGTGATGTGATCTTGGGTCACTGCAACTTCTGCCTCCTGGGTGATTCTCCTGCCTCAGCCTCCTGGGTAGCTGGGACTACAGGCATGCACCACCATGCCCGGCTAATTTTTGTATTTTTAGGAGAGATGGGATTTCACCACATTGGCCAGGCTGGTCTAAACCCCTGACCTTGTGGTCCGCCCACCTCAGCCTCCCAAAGTGCTGGGATTACAGGTGTGAACCACCAAGCCTGGCCCCCAGACCAGATTTTTTATTTGTCAGTTTCTAGGTAGTTTTCCCCAACTTCAGACTATCAATTTTTAAATTATCTGTTTTATATCTTAATTATTAACTAGGCAACTCTAAACTTGTATCTCTAAGACATGACTTTTAGGTGAAAAAAAGTAGAAAATGTGTATCTCTAAGGCACAGAATTTAGATCTAAATAAAGTTAAGGTTTGTTATCTAAACTTTAAGCCATTGTCTTTTCTATTCTAAAAGGTTTTGGAGGTTTGGGTGTAGAGAGGGAGATGCCCTTACAAATGGAGATTTTTTTTTTTTTTTTTTTTTTGAGACAGAGGCTCACTGTGTCACCCAGACTGGAGTGCAGATCTTGGCTCTCTGCAATGTCCACCTCCTGGGTTCAAGCGATTTTCCTGCCTCAGCCTCCTGAGTAGCTGGGATTATAGGCACCTGCCACCATGCCCAGCTAATTTTTATAGCTTTAGTAGAGACAGAGCCTTCACCATGTTGGTCAGGCTGATCTTAAACTGCTAACCTTGTGATCCGCCCACCTTGGCCTTCCAAAGTGCTGGAATTACAGGTGTGAGTCACTGCGCCTGGACTTTGTTTGTTTGTTTGTTTGTTTCAGAAAGCTGTATTTTGGGCTGGGCGTGGTGGCTCACGCCTGTAATCCAAGCATTTTGGAGGCCAAGGTGGGCGGATCACCTGAGGTTAGGAGTTCAAGACCAGCCTGGCCAACATGGTGAAACCCTGTCTTAAAAAAAAAAAAAAAAAAAGAAAGCCGTATTTTGGGCTTTTTAACTAGCTTTTTAAAATTAGATTATTGGCTTTGGGGTGGAGCCCTTTAATAAGTAGGGGGAAGAAAACCTAGTTTTTAGGGCCTCATATTTAAATGTGTAAAGCAGGCATAGCAGGAAGGTAGAATACAGATCCCTCCCATCAAGGATCTCATTTTTATATTGAATCCTGGTTCCCCCAAAAGAGGGACAAAATGTGTGGCGTTTTTCATTGAGTGTCCCACTGCAAAGATGCTCCCCCGAGGCTGGTGGGCAGCCCAGTGCCGATTAGCCCACCCCGTGCTTGGCCTATTTTTAATGGGAGTTTCATCTCTCTGTGGGGACTGCTTTTATTGTCTTTACATGCACCAAACCATGTTTTTAAAAATTTAAATGCACAAATAAGTAGCCCTGTATAGTAGTAATAATTTGTTGTGAATAACTGTCATAAGTCATCTCTAAAACTATATTTTTATCTAATTATATATGTCTAGCTATTTGTATAATTTTTTAAAATAATACAAATTTTTGGTATCCTCAAAAACAAAAGAGATTAGTTAATCTAGTGTAGAAGAGAGCAGAGCTTTAGACCTGAGAAGAATCTGCCCATGACTCTTGAAACTCCACAAGGAAAGTAGGAGACCCCAAACAAGGGGAGAGTGGCATCTTTTCTGAGGTGTTTTTTGTTTTTGGCAGAGTCTCAACTCTGTTGCTCAGGCTGGAGTGCAGTGGTGTGATCTCGGCTCACTGCAACCTCCACCTCCTGGGTTCAAGCTATTCTCGTGGCTCAGCATCTTGCGTAGCTGGGATTACCAGCATGCACCACCACACCCAGCTAATTTTTGTATTTTTAATAGAGGTGGGGTTTCACCATGCTGGCCAGGCTGGTCTCAAACTCCCAACCTCAGGTGATCCACTCGCCTTGGCCTCCCAAAGTGCTAGGATTACAGGCATGAGCCACTGCGCCCGGCCTTTTCTGAGTTTTTTAAGAGTCTGAGTCATTAGAAGTCTTTTTCTAGATTTTTTAAAAACGTGGTATAGAAGATGGCAACAAGGAAGGAGGAATAGGATGGAATAAAAGTAAATGGGAGAATAATTTTTAAGAAAGTGCATAGAGATATCGAACATATTTTTTAAAAAAGATTTTAGTCTACTGAAAAAAAATTTTTTAAATAGGATTTAAAGAGAAAACACAGAAAGGTTTTAAAAATAGACACATAGCTTGAATATTAGCTTTTAATTAAGCTGACTTCTAACCATGGAGCTCTTTAACAAAAATTCTTTTAAATCTCTCTCTCTCTCCCCTTTAAAACTTTTTATAGAGATTGGGGCTTCACCATGTTACCCAGGTTGGTCTCAAGCCTGGGCAACTTCGGGGCTAACGCAATCTGCCTGCCTTGGCCTCCCAAAGTGATAGGATTACAGATATGAGCCACTGTGCCTGGCCTTAAATCTCTTGTTACCAGATTTTAGTTGGGCCAAATCGCTGATACTTTAAAAGTCACATAAATATTAAGTTGAAAAGGACCGATTTCTGATTAGGAAGGAGACCCTAAGCCATGGTGGGAATTTTAATTATTAAACTGTAAAACGGAGCAGCCTCCGTTGTTAATTTTGTATGGAATCCAAAGTGGGAAGTTAGCGTATAATTGTTTTAGGTCAGGTTTTTGTACTTTAGTCAAGAGAATTTTTAAGGATAGCTATGACACTATTATGTGTCCTTTTAATTTGATCTTCCTATCAATTGTTAAGAATAAGTGTTTTTTAAAAATTTACAAATTTTAGTCTAAAGGATTTATCTTTTGGCCATTGACAATTGGAATTTTTAATGGGGTATTTAATTCCGATAGTGACTTAATCAAAAGGTTTCTTTATGTCAAAGAAGACAGAGCCTAGTAGGGATGAGACTTTGTAAGACGACACTCCCCTAAGAGCTCGGAATGTTTGAAAAGAGGTCTTGGAGCCGGGCGCGGTGGCTCACACCTGTAATCCCAGCACTTTGGGAGGCTGAGGCAGGCAGACCACCTGAGGTCAGGAGTTTGAGACCAGCCTGACCAATATAGTGAAACCCTGTCTTAAAAAAAAAAAAAAAAGAGAAAAGACGTCTTGGGTTCCCAATCTTTTCATACAGGCTGTGATGTTATCCGATAAATCACATCCTTTGGATGGTGGAGACCAAGTGGGAATATCCCCATCTAGTCATGTCATGCTCTCAAGGACATAAGACGAGAGGGAAACCTCACCCTGTTTTTATTTCAGGGACCGGCAGCAAACTTTGTTGTAACAGAAGTCGGTCTAACCAGAACCACGAAACTGACGGGTTTGCAGGGCCTACTCAATCAGTGGGTTGCAAGCCTGTTCTCCCCTAGGGTACCCCCTCTTATGACAGAACACCAAAAGGCAAAGACAAAGGAAAACTGCGACAACAAAAAGGCTATTTCTGAAAAGAACGGGGTCAAACAACATGAATATTCATAGCACAAAATAGCAAAAAATACATCAGCGTCACTATACCAAGGTTAGTCACACACAAAACCTGTTCTCTCGTTAATCTTACATTTGGAAAGGACAAGGGAAACAACAATTTCTACTGTCCGTCCACTCATCCAGAGTCCACGGAAAGAGAGAGGAAAACTGGGAGTCCAGCAGGAAATTCATACTCTTCTGCTGGCTTGTCAAATTCCTGTGTTTCCTTCTCTGCGGCTTCCAGAAAAACACAGTAACTCTGGTGATCTTATTTGTGATGCCAAACTGTGGTCTTGGCTCCCTAAAATTTCAGTAAAAATCACTGACATGAAGCAGATTAATAGGGGAAAAGGCATACAGATTTATTTAATATGAATGGGAGCCTTTAGAATGAAGCCCTGAAGATATAGGGGAAATTGCCTCTTTTTATGTTTATGTTTTACAAAGTATGGACAGCTGTGTAGAAATATGACCAGACAGAAAGGGCAAGATCTAATGTTAACAGAGTGAGTGAGGAAGCCCAGCAAGGCTTGTCTGTTGAGATTCCTCCTGGCTTCTCCCATTCCTTCCTTCTGGGTGTAGGGCAGGACCCTCTGTGGAACTGAGGTCTTATGATGTAAGTCAAATAATGTAGGTCAGTTTTTTTTGTTTGTTTGTTTGTTTTTTTTGAGACAGAGTCTCGCTCTATCACCCAGGCTGGAGTGCAGTGGCGAGATCTCGGCTCACTGCAACCTCTGCCTCCCGAGTTCAAGCGATTCTCCTGCCTCAGCCTCCCGAGTAGCTGGGACTACAGGCGTGTGCCACCACGCCCAGCTAATTTTTGTGTTTTTAGTGAAGACAGGATTTCATCGTGTTAGCCAGGATGGTCTCAATCTCCTGACCTTGTGATCCACCTGCCTCAGCTTCCCAAAGTGTTGAGATTACAATTGTGAGCCACCACGCCCAGGCCTGTCAGATAATTTCTTATGGCCAGTTTTTACATAGAGTAATTTTAGGTTTTATGGCTGGCTTTGGGGAAACGGGGTTCTGGTTTTTATAGCTGGCCTTTGGGGAGAATGGAACTGAGTGACAAGAGGACAGGAGAGGGTCAGAGAAACATTGCTTCTGAGGCTGCTGTTGAGGGCTTCATTTTGGGGTACTGTCCTCTAAGCCCCAACAGTGTCAAAGTGTACACAAACCATTCACAGCACTGTTAGGAAATGGGCTCCTGGCTGGGTCTGTGGGGTATGTGTGTGTCTGAGTGTGTGGCTGCTGTCTGCATCCTTCTCCCCCTACTGCCTCCCCGCCTCCTCTCCAGCCACCCTGGGATTGGTGACTCTCAGCCCCTCCCCTCGGCTCCCCTAGACCCTCCCAGAGCGTTTATCAGGGAGCTGGGACGGAGTGACTGGCACCTTCCCAGATCCCTGCCACTCGGTTTGTCTCTTTGCAGCAGCACAGGCAGCACCAGTGCGTGAGGGGAGCAGGCAGAGCTCCCAGCCATCTCCCTGATCCTGCTAGAACACCTAGCCCCAGGCACAGAGCTGCTCCACAGGTAGGTGAGCGGGAGAATGCTGGATGGACTGGAGTTGGCATCAGGGGACAGGAGCCAGCGTCAGGAGGGAATAAAGGAAATGGCAGCCTTTGATAGGGGAGCAGGGGACTGGGAAGGTGAGCAGAAAGCACCTGTAGGGCCGAGAGCTGGTTAGTGTTTGGAGCCTGTGGCTACAGACTAACTCTTTCAGACCAGAAAGTTTTTGCCTAAGTCTTGGGGTTATCCAGTACTGGAGAACAGCTCCAGGATTCCTCCTCCAGCTGACTAGGGAAACAGACCACCAGCCCATGTCCTATAAATCTATCATCTTCCTTGGGAGTTAGAGTCCCCCTGGCATCACTATACCATTGCTCATCTCCTGCAGAGATGTCTGATGGGGGAGGAGGGAAACTAAGCCCAAGGGCTGTACCCCCTTCTCAGAGATACTTTCCATCCTTGTTCCAGACCAGGGCTTGGACAACGGAGTTGGGGGCTGGGGAAGAAGGGCCAAACCAAGCTGCTGGTAATGAATGTCTCTTGTGTCTTCACCCATGCTATATCCTCCTCTTCTCCCCCTTACCTGAGTCCTGCCCTTTGCTCTCCCAGGCACCATGAGGATCACGCTGCTATTCACAGCCATCCTGGCCTTCAGCCTAGCTCAGAGCTTTGGGGCAATCTGTAATGAGTCACAGAAGGAGGTGGCTTCTCGAGGGGGCCACAACAAGGTAAGTGCCCCCCGGCAGAGTACTGGGGACATCACGGGAACCTGGGACTCTGGCTGTCTGGACAGCTGTAGTGAGGAAGCTGGGGTGGGTGGGTTATCCATCAGAGGGCATTTTGCCTCCCTTTGGATTCCTTTGCTTTTCTGGTCCTCTCATGTTCCCACTATTTCCAGGTGTGTTGTTTGTGTCTCCATATCTCTTCATGTCTTTGACACCTTGTACATAAAAGGTGCCCTACAAATATGTTGTTTGGTGGGTTGATTGATGGGAGACTTGGTGATTGGCTGGGACTATGAGGGGTGAGCTAGGGTGGTCTAAGGCTCTCTGTGGTCTACCTCAGTTCCCTTTGCAGGGAACAGATCACTTTTATTTTCTGGATGGTATGAAACAGTCAGAATTTCTTTCCCAAATGGTCATTTGTGTGCTATTTTACCTATCAGTTATGTCTATTGTTTTATTTTCAAAATGCAAATAAATCCCCTTATCTTTGGCTCATCTACCCCCAGTAACCTCAGGTGCTTCTAAGGTCCCAACTCCTTCCTTCTTCTCTCCTCTCCTTTGCCCACCTCTATCCTCTGCTTAGTCAGGATAGGAAAACAACAACAGCAAAAAAACCAGGTTGAGCCTCGATGTCCACAGTTCCTTTATGAAAAAGAATAGGAATTGTCAGGGCAGGGTGTACGGGGGAGGATAGGGAGGAAGCCTTTTCGAGGTTTTGCAATGACAGCAATTACACCAGTACAAATGCTTTTAAGATGATCACAGGTGGGACTTATTACAAATTCAATGTGTGAAGTTTAACTGCCTCCTCTTCAGCTCAAATCTGTTTAGCATCTCATTACAGGAGGTGGGCAGAGTATTCAACAATTTGGGAAAAGTGGCTGCCTGATAGCCACATGCTGGGCCAAGAGAGATATTGCCAGGGCAGCCTTGCAGGTGGCAGCCGTTGTGCTGTATCCAAAAGACTAGAACCATTCAGAAAATACCCAGAGAGTACCAAGTATGGGCTGGACACCATTTGGAGCCACAAAATTCCAGCCCAGGATAGAGTATCTGGGTTCTTCTGAGACAAACTTGCTGTAGGACCTTAGCCAATGAGATGTCCCCTCTGCTGCTCTTGGTCAATGAAAGAGAAGGATTTCCATCCTACCCCTTCTCCCTGAGAGTCTATGAGAATGAGAGAAATTGGGGCAGGATGAGGGTAGTATGTATGTGTGCCTAGGCAACTGGGTTGGTATGTGTGTGGTGTGTGTTCTGTGTAAATGCACTTCTGTGTGTGCACAACAGCCCAAGGATGCCTGGGTTCTGGAAAGAGAGGCACTGCCAACACTTGAGATTTGAGGTGAGGCTCTCCAACCATGATCATTATTATTGTCTCTCTGTAGCTGCAATTAACTGGCTGTGAGTGTGTGCCCGCCATCTTGCTGTGCCCAAGTTGCTAACAAAAAATCACAGGGACAATCAAGAGCCCCTGCTGGGCAACAGCTCTAGAATTTGGGGTTCAGTTGTGGGGAGAAGAAGGGGTGCCTTCTGAGCATGTTGCCTTCCTGGAATTCTAGACCCAGGGCTGAAAAAGGAGAGGGAAGAAAACTAGAGGCAGAAAGCCATGAAGAATAAAGAGGCAGTGCAAAACAGGGAGAGAAACATCCGTGGACATTGTGCAGCATGGGGGAATCACAGGTGCAAATGTGCGCCTCAAACCTCACCATGCATGTGAATCACCTGGGGGGCTGCTTAAAATGCAGATTCTGTCTCAGGAAGTCTGGGGTAGGACCAAGAGTCTGCATTTCTAACAGGCTCCATGCAGGGCTGGTGTGGCTGTTGGTCCACAGGTCACTCCTGGAGCGCCTACTTCTCGTCCAGTGTGAACCAGAGGAAATTCTGAAAGAAATAGGGTCTCAGATTCTGGATGGGTTCAGGAAGAGGCAGTTTCTTGTGGGAAAAGGATGAGTGAATCCAGGTGGAAGCTTCCTGCCTTAGCCCTCTTTGTTTTTTCTGTAGAAGGACATGAATCTCCACCAGCTGGTCCAGAGACTCTACAAAATCCACTCCTTTTCTCTGGAGGAACTGCTCATAGCCCTGAGCCAGGCTATCTTGGGTAGGAGGCCGCCTTAGGGAGAGAGGGGAGTGAGGGGCAGGATTCTGAAGTTGAAAGGCCTGGTAGACCCTTTCAGCTGGGAGGGAGATGGGGGATAGTCTAGTGAATTGGTGACGGTGTGATCCGAATCCCCTCTCCTCACTTTCCAACTTCACTCCCCATTTAGACACTTGTTCTTCGTTTCACAGATTCTAGGGGATCAGAAACACCACTTCCCCGGAAACGTGAGTAGCCTCTTCTCCCTCCCTATCTTTGATGACCACTTGCCCAGAGCTCCTTGGGGCATTGGGCCGAGGGGCCATTTTGTCCAGCTCCTTCTCACCTGGTACAAACAACATGCCAGCTGCCACTGCTCAGCCAACCTTTCCTGAAAGGGAGAGGCTATCAGGAACTAGGAGGAAGCCAGTGTGAGGGACATGGTGGACTCTCCCTCTGCTGGCTGGTCATTGGGAAACAAGAGGATCTCTTGGTGGCCCTGAAGATTCCAAGCCAAACACCTGCTAGAGCAGAAAATTCTTGAAATGTGGAGGAGGGAAAGGTGGGCAGAGAGAGTGGTTAGGGGAGGCACTTGCTAATGTGAGGAGTCATGCTTTGACAAGAAAAAGGAACGGAGACCAGAAATCTGGAAGTGCTGACCCATGTCTGGGGAAATGCATCACTTTCTCATCATCACTGCTGACAATGTTGGCCCTTTTCTACAGGTAACATGCAGGACTTATTTGTGGGACTTATGGGCAAGAGGAACGTCCAGCCAGGTAGGAGTGTGTGGGGGTACATTGGAAGGGTTTAGGGTATGGGCAGAGTGTATGATAGAAGTCACATGCCTCATATTTGTCACCAGAGGGAAAGACAGGACCTTTCTTAGCTTCAATGAGGGTTCCTCAGCCCCTTCATCCCAATCAGCTTGGATTCACAGGCAAGCCTTCCCTGGGAGAAGAGGAGGGGGTACCTTTATAAGGTAGTCTTGCTGCAGCTGGGAGGAAGGACAGGGAGACTCTGCTTCCTCCCCAGTCTTCCAACTCTGTCTTTGAACGCTGCCCTTCATAGCCAGCCCTTTGCTGTTGGGTTAGGCTGGCTATGAGAAAGATGCCTCTTACTTACACTGTTCACTTTACTCTAGACTCTCCTACTGATGGGAATCAAGAGAATGTCCCTAGCTTCAGCGCCCTCAAGTATCCCCCCAGTGCGAAATGAGGTAAGGATTGTGTTAGAGAGGGGAGAGGGGATTGGGGAGGGAGCTGTGAGGGTTGCCAGCTGCTACAGGCATTAAAGCTCATAGATTTGCCCTGAAATACACTGCCAGTGCCCAGCACACTATCGGTCAAACACAGACACTTGGAGGCACATGTGTGTGCATGCACATCCCCCCCGTCTTTCCTCTCTTTTGCCCTGGATCATGGACTTCAGCTTTGAGCAGGAGTGAGGGTTGGGAGATGAGGAGAGAGGAGCTTCCTAGATGGCAACTTCTGTTGTTTGGACTTCATTCTTTTGTGATCTGTGCAAAAAGATGGAGAGATTATTATCTGATAATTACAAACACCACAACCAATTCACAGGCAAGCATTGCTTCCCAGACAGGCTGAGCCTTTTAGATCACTCAGAATCCCCGGTTACCGGGTCCAGAGGGTAGTGATACTCAAGGATGACTCAGGAAGAAATTCAAGGAACTCTGAAATCTAATGGGGAGTAGCTGGAAACCATATCTTAATCTCACTCTTTTTTAGCACAATGAATAAGAACATGGCCTGCATGTGAATCCTGGACCTGCCACTCTCTATCTGTTTCCCTTTGGCCAAGTTACATAACCCTTCTGTGCCTCAGTTTTCTCATCTGAAAAATGAAAGTGATAATAGTTTCTCGCAAGGTTGTGGTTTTAAGGATTGAGTATAGGTAAAGTGTTCAGAACAGTGCCTGGTGCACAGTGCTGTGTGCCAATTTTCTGATGATTGTCCCAGTTTGGGCGGTGTGGGGGATGTCCTAATGTTTCCCCTGACTGGCTCTGTCTGGACCCCAGGCCTGAGTGGGCTGACAGATTCCTCACTTGGTATGCAAGCGTGAGAGTCCCCCAGGGAAGTGTCTAGTCAAAACATGAACCTTCTGCCTTGACACCGTCTTCCCACACACAGCAATAGCAGCTCCGCCAATGGCTTTCTTTTCACTAGCTTCTCAAGAAGTGGGGCAGGGGAAGCGAAAGGAAGAGGGAGAGGGATTGGGAAGCCTCATAATCATGGAGAGCCTCCTGCCTTACTCCCTGTGTCCCTGTTACCCATACTCATTGGTCTCAAGGTGGCACGCCTGAGATCCAAGGAGCTGGCACTTGATGATGCTGCCTATACATGACTTCCTGGGACCAGAGACTGGGTCTGGCCCCCCATTTAGTGTTGGGTGAGAGGGCACAAACAGCTATAATAACTGTAACTCGCTGATTACATGGTGCTTACTGTATCATTTTGCTCTCATTAGATGGTTATTTCAGTCCTACCCACGGCCAGATAATTACACAAGCAGCTATATCTGGATGACATACTCTCCTCCAGCGTTATGCACTGGCCATAAAGATAATTACAGTGCAATTTTGCCATAGTATTTTATGTAAATGGCAAAAACAGGTGCATTGTGGAAATCTACTTTCAATGCTTGCTTGTGAATCCAGGCTCTTTCAGAGGGACCCGTAATTGCAGCCTTCATAATCTTACCACTGAGGGAGCATTCTCAACCTGTTAGGTGGCAGGGAGAATAGGACATAAGGTTTCCGGGAGCTGGCATTTAACGATGGGATGAGATGGATCAACACAGATCATTGTGTCATCTGATTTCATTCATGTGACACTGTTGAAAAAGGAAGTTTTCCTGGGCCTGTCCTTCCTCTAGGAGGTTTCTAGGAAGAGGAGAGGAGCATTCATAGTAGGGCACCTTGGACGGGGCTGTGTGTCTGTTTGGCTCATGGGGGTGCTAGGATGGCATGAACTTGGTTCTACATTTTTGGTTCACATGGGCCCCACTGGCCATGCACACAGGTGTGTATAGTAACGTAAATATGGTGGCTGGGAAGGTGCAAGCACCTGCTGCTAGGAGAGTTCCAACCTCAGGCCCAAAGGCGGGAGGGGAGGCTGAGGGTCAAGACTCTTGTTCTTTTTTCTCTCCCAGGTGGCCCTTCCCTTCTCTCGTGCTGCCCTAGCAGGTGTTCAGTGGAAGTTTTTTACAGGATGTAAGAGATGATTTCGGTGTTGTTTTTTTTTTGGTCCTCAGCACTCTACTTTTGGACCCTTGGACTACGTCAGGAAGACCTGTCTCCCTGCCCCAATCCCCAGGTGCACATGCTCCCATTGCCCTTTTTCTTCCCCATTCTTGTAACATTCTTGTGATTTGACTCCTTCCCTATCTTTTCCACCTGACCCTGGCATGAAAACTGCGTAGTGAATATCCCCAATCCCAATGGGCATTGACTACAGAGTCCCCTAGAGTTCCTGAAGTGTCCTACATTAAAAATATAATGTCTCTCTACTCCTCAACAATAAAGGATTTTTGCAGATGAATGATGTGATATGTGTGTTTACTTGTTTGGTTAGTGGGTTTTCTGTTCCTTGACTCTTCCAGCTACATGGTAAATACACACATATGTATGATACACATGTTCATATTTAAATGTAAATATCTTCACATATCTTTCTGTATTTATCTATTTCCTGAACAGTGCCTTACACAGTGCTTTGCATGATGACTATCAGATTTATTTAGTGATTAAAATAACAAATATGTAAATTCGGAAGATGGGTTTTTTTCTTTTTATTTTTCCAAGACGGAGTTTCACCATATTGGCCAGGATGGTCTCGATCTCCTGACCTCGTGATCCGCCCGCCTCGGCCTCCCAAAGTGCTGGGATTACAGGCATGAGCCACCATGCCCGGCTCGGAAGATGGTTTCTAACACAAAGATATTCACAGACCAGTTTTAGATAAAGAAAAAAACATTCAGAATGACTTGTATTACTAGGATGGGCCTGGGAGACATGCATTCCTAAATCTGACTCGACTTAACTAGAGGAGGTGAGGATAAAGGCTGTGCAGAGACCTAGCCACAGAGGAGGAATATGTAACACTATATCATTTTTCTGTCTCCAAATGCCAAGCCTGCGTTCTGTGACAGATCCTGCAGATGAAATGATGACTCATACACAGAGTTTACAGTCTAGCAGGGCTATGGATGAGCAAACAGAACTTGATCCAGCTACGATGGGGTGTGGACAGGGAAGTTACTAATGAGACCAAGAGAGGAGCAGATACATTCAGCGTTAACTGTCTGCCTTAGTTATCATAAAGGGGAAAACATTTATCTCTGACTCTTCTCTAATGTGCCTGTTACCAGCCCCTGCAGCTCTGATCTGACAGTCCCCAGAATGTGTAAGGCACTTACATGTGGTATGCATGGGTATGGGTGTCTTTTATTAAGCTGAGATGTCAACTATCAGCCTATCATCCCAAGGGGGGTTCTGTACCCTAATGGAACAGCCAGTGAAATCCTCAGGCTCCTTATTCTTAGCCTGGTACAAAGGCCTTGGTTATGCCCCTGAATTGCACTGATACAACATCCACACGTGGATTTCCCAAGGCAGTGTAAGGACAGGGCCACAGAGCCAAAGGCCACTTCCTATAGTCCTTTCATTCCAGTGAAAGTTCTGTCTTCCCAGAGCCTGACTTGGGGCCACTTTGGAATGACAGCTGTACAGTGGAGGGCGGAGAAAGGAGGGAATACTCACCCCAGTATTACTTATGTCAGCTTTATAGCCAGAGGTCAAAGAATGCCTCCACACCAGAGCATGTGAAGTTTATTGGGGTCAATACTTTTTCCAGTGAGTCATCAACTTGACTTTTGAAAATTATCTGTCTGTGGGGCTTAACACTGGGGACACTTTTGCAGAGTCTAGGGGCTTTCTTTGGATCCTAAAAGCCGCAAGAGTTGGTTCTGCTCATACTTGGTGGGAATTAGGCACGTAGGCTGAGATGAGACTATTGCTTTGCAAGCAGGAACAAAAATGCAGAAAGATTGCTCTCTAGTGGGACTGACAAAAATTGCAGTACTGGGGACTCCAGAAAAAAAAATGAAGACAAATGTTAAGTTAGATCCCTGTTTTTGTACTTGAAGAATGTGTGAAGGGATCCTGACTCTCCCCTTCCTGTTGTAAAATGGTTGATGTCTAAAGAGATCTGGTCAACAAGACCTTGACTAAATTCCTGGCCCTTTCTTCTCCACTTAATTGTGTATGTGTTTTATTGTGACTATATCGTGATTTACTTTAAAAAGACTTCAGTGTAAGTGGTATATACTTTCACCTACACCATTTGGGTGCTTTATTTGCATGTGAAGTTTATTGGTAGTGTTGTAACCCAGTGAGCACGAAATCGGCAGCCACGGAGGACTTGTGTCTCTCTAACCCATGGCCCCGAAAGGAGGGTGTCAAGACCTTTTATGCCCATAAACCACCTCCTGGGCGGGGGTGAGGGCAAGGGGCTTCGGACATTCTGATTGTTACTTAAGTGGTTTACAGAAGTTAAGATAAAGCGTTAGTTTACACATTGTCTGGGCAGGGTGGAAATTACAGACCTTAGTTACTTATTACAAGTCGAAGTGGCCAGGATGGTGTGGGTTTGGACTGCTTGCCTGTCATATTAGGGTTACAGAGAGCAGTTTCAATGGAAAGCCGAGGTATGGTCGAGGTATGCAGCTTATGGGGCAATTACCATGTCACAGTGTCAACACTCCGGAGATGGCTGGGACAGTTGGTTAGAAAGACTGAACAGGCCCAGGCCCTTGCAAGCCCAGCAGCCCTAGGTCTCCAGAGTTGTGCTGGAGGTCTGGGTCTGCCGATTGTGTGATATTCCACTTTAGGGAGACTCAGTCACCTTGCACAACTGTGGGAGCTGGGCCTGCCATTGAAACATTGTGTTGGCCTCCAAGTGGCCCTTTCACTAGATGGCAAAGTGAGATTTCTCATTCCCAAAGTATAAGAACAGTATGTGGAATCATACTGGAACATGGAGACCATGTAGCTCAGGTCAATGAAGGGACCATTGATGGCGACAATATCCACAATATCCACTTTACCAGAGTTACAAGCAGCCCTGGTGACCAGGCGCCCAGTACGACCAAATCCGTTGACTCCGACCTTCACCTTCCCCATGGTGTCTCAGGGATGTGGCTGGCGATAGGAGACAAGTTGCGGCTGTCTGGCGAACAGGAGGAGCAGAGAGCTAATCAATCTTACAACTTTTTGTAAAATGCCCATAGCAGATGTTCTGAGGACAGGCTTTAGGAACTGTGAACGTAGAACAGGGGAAGCAATGAGGGTTTCGACAGGGTTTTTCACTCTTCAGGCATCAGGTCCCCCACACAGTGAATCATCGCTTGGAAAACGCCAGGCCTGGGGGCTTGGAAGCCCCTGCCCCGCTCGCGCGGGTCCTGGCCCCTGCCCCGCCGTCGGGGGGCGCTGCCTCCTCCCGGGCGGCGGGGGGCGCTGCGGCCCGGCGGCGGGGGGCGCTGCCTCCTCCGGGACGGCGGGGGGCGCTGCGGGCCGGGCGGCGGGGGCGGCCCGGGCCGGCGCGGCGAGCCGCGCGGCGGATGGAGAGTCTGGCCGCGGCCGGCGGCGCCGCCTCCTCGTCGGGCCGGGCACGGCGGGCCGGGGCCTTTGTGTGAGGCGGCGGCGGCGATGGTGCTCGGGGCCCCGCGGAGCCGGGTAAGCGCGGCCGGGCAGAGGGCTGCCCCTGGCCGAGGCCCGACCCCCGGCTCGGCATTTCTCTTGCTCTTGCTGGGGTCCCTCCTACCAGCTCCCCTCGGCCGGACCCATCCTCCCTGCCCGCGCGTCGACCCCGGCCGGCCCCGCTGCCCCTCCCTTGGCCCCATATTCAGCCCCGTGACCTCTCCGGGCTCACCCGGGTGAGCCCCCACGCTGTTTGTGGAAGGACCGAGGCGCGCAGTGCCCCCCAGAGGGAGCGCCCCAGCCGATCCCGTGCCCTTCCCTCCCAGATGCGACTTTCCGGAGGAGAGACCGCCGCTCCCCGGGATTGTTGGGGTGTCCTTCTCGGAAGTTCCCAGCCTGCCCCTCTCCCGCCCACCACTACGGCTGCCCAGGGCTCCGACCCGCCGATCCTTCACGGGTGGCCACCAGGGGCCGAGAGATGCTTGGCCGGTACCCCACAATACTCAGACGCTTGCTGGGCCCCAGAAAAAGTTGGGAGTTGTTGGTAGAATCTGGAGAGATAGAGAAAGGGGCTGTGTTGCGCAGAGTTGTGAGACTGAACAGGGATGCAAGTAGCTCTTCTTTAGTCTTGCAAGAGTCAGAAAGGGCAGAAAGTGGTAATGAACTAGCCTCTAGGAGTCTTAACTGTATGATTAGAAGTCTTTCTTGCGGCATCAAGTAAATCTGTTAGCACAGGGCCAAAAAAGCATAGACCCCGAAAAGGATGGCAAAAAAGAATACATCATATTAAAGTTACATTAAATGCTACCACAGTTGTGTTCTACTTTGCTTTACTGTGCATTCTGAGTGCTGTAACTTCACAGAATACAGGGACTGTGATGAACCAGTATCTGGAGTGGCTCTGCGTTATCGAAAGACCAGAGAGCAAGTATGTAGTATAGGCAGAGAGAGATGGGGCTTCAAGAATGTGAGATTTAGTTAGAGATTTATTGAGAGGCCGAAGACGCAGCAATGACAAAGCCAAAAGATGGAGCCCCCTTACTGTTCCTCAGCAGCAAATGGAGCTTTGATAGTTGTGTCCAAGCATGTGTATGGCATTTGGCATCGTGAGGGAAAAGAATATGCTCAATGAATTAGGGAAGCTTGTATTTAGAAGGAAATTAATAGGAGAAAAATCTGGTCCAGTGGCTCTGGTAATGAAGTATAAGATTGTGTCCGAGGGAGTGCCTCTGGCTCGTTTCTAGGCACTAGTTTAAGACCAAGCTATGCAGGGGGAGATGCCATTGCCTTGTGATAATGGAGGAACTCTCCATGCCCATTTACTCCTGATTCCCACCCGTGGCTTGGAAGAGTTGGGAGTGGTGGTATTTTCTCCTGCATAGCCTCTCTTTTGCACAGGTGTGTTTGGCTATCCATCTTTTTCTCTTGCTCTCCACAGATTAACCGTGCTGATAAGGAGATAATTTCATAGGAGCTGCTAAGATGGGCATGAGGATCAAACTGCAAAGCACCAACCACCCCAACAACCTGCTAAAGGAACTCAACAAGTGCCGGCTCTCGGAGACCATGTGCGACGTCACCATTGTGGTGGGGAGCCGCTCCTTCCCGGCCCACAAGGCTGTGCTGGCCTGCGCAGCTGGCTACTTCCAGAACCTCTTTCTGAATACTGGGCTTGATGCTGCCAGGACCTATGTGGTGGACTTCATCACCCCTGCCAACTTTGAGAAGGTTCTGAGCTTTGTCTACACATCAGAGCTCTTTACAGACCTGATCAATGTTGGGGTCATCTACGAGGTGGCTGAGCGTCTGGGTATGGAGGACCTCCTCCAGGCCTGTCACTCT